GCTTTCCAGCAAACTCAAATTGACCATTGATACCAATAGAAAATTTTTGTGTCCAAAGTATGGAGCTCACAGGGCTTCTTTTTGTGCTAGTTCATGGGTTTCTTAGGTGTCGTGTGTTACTGAGGCAACTGAATACTTTCTTTCTCAAGCTTATCTTTGATTACAAGAAATAAACAAGCTAATAGGGTCTGACAGTTCCTGACCTTTGCTCATGCAAATATACAAATACACAACTACACGTCAGTCCTAACCACAAGGCTTTTGAAGCTGATTTTTGGAGAAAACAAGTCCAAGGCAGCTGCCTGAAGCCAACCACACCCAACCTTCCGTACCAGGAGCCATGTGGTGCTTTCCAGAAGCCAGAAGACTATTCAAGGCTTCATTGGAGATGCCACAGTCCAGGATGTTGTCATTACTTTCCCTCTTGCACCACCCCCAATTTAGGAAAGGCCATTTGGACACCCTGGCAAGTTGGCTCTTTGCAGGCAAGTGGTGCCTGTACTTTCTCAGTCCTCATCCTAAACAGCTCTGCAAGACTTAGACAGGATTTGCAGCCTAGGAATGAAGCAATGTCCCCACTTGTGTGTGTGCATATGAGGGTGAAAGATTCCATCTACTAGTCTACTTAAACACAGATTTATTTATTTGTTTACTGAAAGTTAGCAACTTCCATTCAAGCTCCTGGAAATGATGTCAGGGTCATCTCTCTTCCAAGTGTACTTGAGCTGCTTAACTAACTTGTCCACTCCATTTAATACACAGCTTATTTAACATTTTTATATACATTATATCTCCATGAGTGATCCTGCAGTGATCACTGGAAGCTAATAATCAGGTATTCAAAAACGTTCAAATCCTTCTCCCATGGATAGAGTTTTGCCATTGATGTGACAAGTGGGAGCTTTGAACCCAAGTGTGGCAAACACAACCTCAACAAAACTGGAAGTCTCCTTAACAAATAGAAACAGATTGGGAGGAGACTTGAAAAGGGCCTATCAAATAGAAATGTCCATGTGTCTTCAGATCTACTTGACTTGTCTAATGCTGAGACAGAGAAGAGGAACCAGGAGTATCTGCAGTTGAGAAAGGGGGATGCACACAGGACTGAGCACAGCTGCAGAAGATGCTATCCTGATGGTGGCATTAAAGGCTCTGCTGATGGTTGCAGGGTTTTTGTTTTTTTTTTGGTGTTACAGCAAGTGTAAGGCTGCACCTCTGTTTGATTGTTTTTCTTCTTTTCCTCCTCTCCCCAAGAACAGCAATGAAAATCAGTTTTGCTGAGCTCTTTCAGCAGACCATTCCTAACTCCCCTCGGGGAGCTGTGCTGCTGCTGCTGCTGTAGGGTGACCACCAGCGTCGCTCTAGATGGCAAATACAGCTGCTTGGCTTTTGTATTTTCATTTAAAAACACAAGAACAAATCCATTGTGGACCTACTATCTCACACTTTAAAGAGGACTTTTCTAAATGTGTGGACCTGTTTGGACCAGATGAAAAGGAAAACTACAGATGAGAAGGAAAATGAGAACAGTAACAACAACAAAAACCAGTTCTATTTATGAAATCATACTGTTTAAATACCAAAATACCGACTACCAATAGAGTCCCTTACAATAGATGCCCATTGAGTGAGATCATAACTAGTGACAGGTGAACTGAAAAAGTTTGGAAAATAGAGAAAAATATGAAACAGGTCAGAAAATCTTGTGGGGTAGATGTTCCCCTTTATGTTTCTAGTATCTCTTGATTTCAGTTCAGCTGGAAAGAATCCTGCTGTAAACCTGCCGTTTGCAAGCCCAGAAGAATCGTTAATACAAAGGTACATGAAATAAGGTAAGTGTGGGTTTTGTTGTTTTATTCTGGTTTTAAACTCAGGGATCTTGTTCTAAAGATCTCATGCCAAAACTGCATTAGCTTTTCCCTGGATCCAAACCAGTTCATCTATGACTAGTCACCATAGTTTTAATATAGAGTACCTCACTTACATAAAACAGGTAAAATACAGCACAAGTGTTTAAACAAGTAAATTAGGGGAAAAAAAATCAGTTGCATTTGCAGTCAGAAACAGGTAGAAAACACAGACTTTTAAAAAAACCTTTTTTTAATAAATTTGGCAGAGGATCATGTTGAAATGCAAATTTACCACCAAGAAAAGTTCAGAAATCCGATAACAAAAGTGTTAGCAAAAACCAAAACTGTAAAAATCTGAGTGTGCAAAGAATCTGAGTATGCTCATTGGAATGCAAACCCCAGATAAACCAAGAATGATTAACTTTTTTTTTTTTCTTTTTTTTTTTTTTTTTGAAGGGAGGGAAGAGGGGAGAGAGGAATTGTTTTTCAGAAACAATAATTGCTTAGCTCTTTGTGAGCCCCAGCCCTCCCTTGCAGTCATGCCAAAGAGTAGAGCAGGGCCAGAGGAGGTGACAAAGAGAGCGTTTCAGTGAGGTTGTTGCATACGTGAGACATTTTCACTTGGTACATGGAAGCAACTGATTTGAATGGCACAGTTTATATCAAAATGGGGCTGGGTTCTAGTTCTCTAGTAGTTGTACCTTGAAAGGTGTAGTATTAGCCCTCTGGTTCTTCACACAAAAACACTCTCCACAATGTGGGAGATGGCTCAATACCCAGCTGACTTGCTGGAGACAGCTGTGATGTAGCCAAACCATTTTTTTCCCTAACTAAAGTTTGCCTCAGCTCTATAGCACAAAAGTGATGTGCAAACTGTATTTCAAACGCCATTATATCATAATGTATATATATTGAAAAAAAAATTAAAATAAATCAAGCATCAGCGTTTCATCTGCATTCACAGAAACCATTAATTTAGACCACCCTAACCTGCCAATCCCTCTTCACCCAGGCACATGTGCCTGTTTACTGCAAACACTGATTGTAACTCAAAAATGAGGGTCCAAGCTGATGTCCACTAAGAGAGTTCTCTTTGATTACATGTCCTTGTCTTTGATGCTTAAAGGCTATGTTAAAAAAAGCTCAGCTTATGCATGCTGCTTTATTTTGGGCACATTTAATGACACTCACTGGCCCATCGAATTTCTCCAGTGACCTTTGGATGGCTATTGCCACTGGCCCAGCAGGTGACATTAGATATTTGCCACCTCCAGCTGTGGAAAAGTTTCATTTGTAACTCTCATAATACAGCAACCAGAAAAAGAAAACAAAAGCAATTCTGCCATGGCTGGTTTTGTTGCTGCACCTCAGCTAATGTAAAATCATGTACAAATTCAAACTACAAGTATTTTGGAAGTTATAGATGCAGCCACTTTTAAAAATTATTTTGGTCCATCTCTTTTAAATCACCCCTTTTCTGTTACAGGAAAACCAACAAGCTAATCAACAAATGTTTGTGCTGCTGCAGCCAGTTAGCCCATGGGACAAAAAACCCCCACAAACCAAACCCAAAAATGCTCTGTAGGAATGTTAAGAACTGGATATGTTCCTGTTTAAATGACAAACTCTGCCCTGACAGACTAAGCTGATGGCAGAATAAGCAGATACAAAACTCTGCTTTTATTATTTCCTCTAAATACCTTAGGATATCTTAACTGTGGTATAAGAAGAAACAAACCTCTCCCTCTAATACAATGCCCACAAGAAAAAGCTGAATTTCCCCAGAGAACCTGTTCCCAGCACAACCTGATCAAGTTTTCTTGTTTGTTGGTTTTGTTGTGGTTTTTTTTTAATTAAAAAAAAAAAAAAAAAAAAAAAAGCTTTTGCCCATGTTTTGGACAATCTTCAGGGAGCCATTCCCCATGGAAATGTCCACCTGGCCCCCATGAAGTGGAACCCCCAATCCTACACTCCTTGTAGTGGTTTCTCTTCACTCCCCAGTCTAACCTGAATGGGATGCAATTCCTTCTGACCAAATATGAAACATTTCAAGTGTTATGTGTTCCCTTTGCTTTAACTTAAAATCCCAAAAGCCCTGTTTCTTCAGCAGGCAAGATTCATAAGCCTCATAAATATGTTTGCCACCCTCCACCTCTCCCTAAAAAAAAGAAAAACTATGGTTTACCTCACTGAGGGACACTGGGGGCCTTAGGTCTACTGCTGTTATTTTAGTAACACAGGACAAGGGACTTAGTCCTTTTGCCTCTTCCTGCAACAGGAACCTACCCCCTCAAAATAAATAAATAAAGCAAATCCTCATTAGCAAACTTGGCAGAGCATTTTTGAGATACACAGATGAAAAGCATCTGTTTGCTGTATGCTGTTACTAGCTTCATTAGTATTATTATTAACAAGGTGTCTGTTACAAATACCAGTTACACCAGGTGTAGGTGAGTGGTTTTGTTCCTCCTGTTGGTGATGACCTGGTTTGTGTTCACCTTTGGACAGTCAGAGTCCAAAAGGGATTATTTCTCTGCCCCAAACCAAAGTCCAATAATTAACACACAAACAAACAAGCAAGTGAACGTCTGAAGCCCTAAGAGGGCAGGTGCTGCTTTGCATCTCTCTCAGCTACTGGGCGCTTGTCCCTGCTGCCCCTCCCAGTCTGCAGAATTCAAGTTTACACCAGTGCCACCACACTAAAATATGTTTTGCTGAAAAACTCAGGAGTAGGTACTCAACCTCCCCACTCACACACAAACAGCAGGCATTTCACTTAAGTAAAAAAACAAACAACAACAACAAAAAAACAAAACAACCCTAAAAATTATTAAAAATAATTTTTAAAAAGAGTGAACCATGCCAAGTCCTGCAAATGCCTTCCTAAAGTCCTCCCCTCATCTGTGTGACAGGGTCCCAGTGCTGTGCTTGGGAGGGGCAGACTTTCACACCCACTTTCTGTGCCTTCCTTGCAGACTCTCTGCTCCAGCTGCCCAGCTGTATCTTTCCTCAGGGACCGTGCTAAACCTAACTGTACCCTTTCCCTAATGTGACCCCAAATCCTGTCGTTTACCACAACTGAACCAGAGGGTGGAAATACTACACCTTTGAAAAGTCTCTTGAAACAGCATTTATTTTTTTTTAATAATGATATCTCAACAGAGCTGCTTTTGTGTGTTCTGTAGGTTACCCTGCTCCCAACCACACCAGCACCTAAAATTGCTTTCTGAGACTTGAATATATTGCTGGCAAGACAATCAATTCAAGTGGTAAGGTGTATAATATTTAGAGATAAAGATATATATATTTAAAAAAACCCAATAATAGTAAATTCCTGTAATATGTCTAGTCTGATATGAAAGCTCTCCCTCTACAGAGAGACATCTGCTGTGATTACCTTACAAAATATTAAAAAAAAAAAAAACACACACAAAAAATAACTTTCTCTGTGAGAAATAAAAATAAATCCTAGTGCAAATATAAAGCTCTGTAAACCTGGTCCTATGAGAATCTATGGTTAGTAAACGGCAGTTAAAGCAGGTTTATCCTCTCACAGAGAGAGCTCACATCATGGTTTCCACAATGATATGAGTTGGCTTGATCAATCCACCATTCGAAGTTCCATTGGGGCAGAAGGGGGTGCCACTCTCTGTTTCTTTGGACCACCGATTCACTTCCTTGGGGGCAGCCACTGCTTTTATCCTCTGAAAGACAGAAGAAAAGAGAAGATGAGAAGACCCAAGTGGCTCCTGTGGCTCTGTGTGCAGGGTGGAGGAGTTGGCAACCCAAGGATGGGGATGGTGGCCACCAGGGACGTGCCTCTGCAAGGACACGGGGACGTGGCTGTGGAGCACCATGTTTAATTTTTGCTTAGCAGTAGAGCCTGAGTTGGCACAGGGAAGTCATCATGAGAGGGTGTCACCCTGCATGCTGGGCTTTCTGTACTGCAGCTGCTGCTCAGATTACATGTGTTCTCCTTCCTCTTTTAGAAACAACTCTGCCTTTTAGCCCAGCTGTTCATTGCCAAGTGGCAATTTCTCTCCTACCTCTCAGTTCACAAAGGAAGAACTAAATGGCATCTGACCAGTGTTTACTCTCTTTCTTTCCTAACATGGTCTTTGAGGAGTGTTTTGGCTACTTTTAGACTTTTCTCTCAATAGAGGCTACAATGTAGGCAGGAAAATAAACACTCATGAAAATGCTTTGGCCACAGCTGAAAAAGACCATTAACACTTGGAGAAAAACAAAAAATGTTCTTTTTTTTGGTGGTGTTTTTCTTTTTTTTCATTCTATTTTATCTTTTTTTTTTTTCCTAACCCAAACTGTCCCACTTTCTGCTCCAAGAATACTCTGAGCTGCATTTAAGACTGGTTCATTAGGCAAAACCCAAAACTAATACGAAACCTTAGAACAGAATTGCTAAGTTTCACGCTTGCCCAGTCTCTAAAAGATTCCCACTAGAAGGAAAACAAACCACAGGAACCTGCGCTGAGCTGCAGAGGGCAAATCCAAACCTGAGAGAATCTGCACTGTCACAACTGACTCTAAGCCAAAGTTCTCCAAAGATCAGGGCAATCTGGATCCAGTGTTTAATTTTGATTCATTAGGAATATTAAAAACCACAAAATTAAACAAGCTAGGCTGGACTTTTATTCAGTCCCCTAGAGTGAAGGCCTGAGAGCCACACAGGTGGAACTGATTTTCCCTGAAATTTAATGAGCTCTCAAACAGCTGGGGTTGACCCAGGTCTGTCTGTGTGTCTGTCTGTCCATCTATCTATTTACTTCTATCTCTCTCTATCTCTCTTTCTCTCCCTCTTTCCTTCTTTCTCTTATTTCCTCAGTAATTTGTAGAAAGGTGCTTCCTTGTCCTCATGAGCTGGAGAAGAGAGATGGGGCACCCAGAAGCACCCCAATCCTTAAGCAATGATTTGCCAAGCTCAAAACTGCAGAAGTGGGATGCAAGTAAAATTCCCTGGTGTTCGTCTGAGGAACTTCAGCTTCATGTTTGTTCAGTTTCTACTGTTTGCCCAAAGGACAGGTGATCTTTAACAGCCTTATTTGCACTCACTGCAGGAGAGGAACCTGGCCTTGCCCTAACTGGACAGGGTGGCATTTTTCTGCACAGTGTGCTTATTTTGTATAAAACACAGCAAGTTAAAGCTCCCTTTCTCCTCTAGGCAGACAACCGGTTGCTCTTACCTCAATGAGTGACCCATCTGACTGTATGATGCGGATGACCATCACCATAGGGATGCAGATCATGGAGGAAAGGGCAAGAACCCAGCCCAGGCCAATTGCCCAGTCTGGGTATGTGTAGACCTTGTTGTAGGTCAGTGGTTTGTACTTGGCCAAAGAAAAGATAAAGCACCCCTGTGGATGAGAAAGGAACACAAAGTGAGTCTCAACAAATTCTGAAGGCACTAGGGCTCTGGTGCTACCATTGGCCCTGAGGGAGACAGGCAGGAAAACAGAGCTGATAGATCCCATATGGAATTTAAATGAGCAAGGGAATTCTTTTTCCATTTAAATTCCTGAAAGAGCATCTGCATCTGCTTATAGGTAAAATGTTGCTTGACAACAGGGTCATAAGTGATGGTGCTCAACAGGTGCAGGACACTGCGTCTTCTTTTTCAGGGTCAAATAATTTGTTGTACATTGCAAGGAGATTACTGGGATGCAGCAGAGGAAATAGTTCAAGCTGAGCACCTGCCTCGGACTGCTCAAGTATTTTTGTTAAAATGGCCCAGTAGTCTTACCACTTAAAATAGGGACTGTTCTTTGGAGAGTGAGTTTTCTGTGTCATGAATGCCAACCCTGAGAAAAATCCACTCAAATGTAGCCAACTGTATTTGCCCAGGCACAACAGAGAGCTGTCACATTAACAGCTAACATTTGAGAAGATGAGGTCTTTGAGGAGTATGTTCAAGCTTCCAGTATGTCTTTGCAAATTGGTGTCTGAAAGCAAGAGCCTTCATGTGAAGAGAAGAAAAAAGAGACAGCTCAGAGCTGCTGTGTGGAAGACTTGAAAGAGCCCGGGTCAGAACTTACCACGCAAAGAACTGGTGTGATCACAATCCAGCTCCACTTCATCCAGGGACCAGGTCTGTATCCAATCATATCCTCAATGGCATCATAAATATTATCAGCGCCTGTAACAGACAACACAGCACAGAATTCAGCATATAAAAAGACAGTGGGGTTACAGCTGCTTTCCCAGCCCCCTCAAGGGGTATTTAAAAGGCCAGAATACACTTTTCTGACAGCTTTCTTTTTGTATTTCCTGTTTGGTTGGCTTGCCCCTTGCAGACATTGCAGCTTTTGAAAGGAAATTCTCTGAGAGACAAACAGAAATTTTCACGGCTGGCCAAACTTTCAACTCTCATCTCTAAACTTAACACATGTAAATGCTTAATTGTGCCTTTATTAATTAGCAATGGAAAAATACTCATTTTTGTGTGGAAAAACACCGGAGGCTGGCTTCATCCCAGATGCAAATTTGTCTCCAAGAGGTCAGTGCAAATTTATCTGTTGCTGGGAAGAAGATTCTGGGGCAGCCGATGATTAAATGTTTGGCTACCAAAACTGTCACTGACTCATCAAAAAGGTATCAGATGAAAGGATTCTTACTTACCATAAACCCAGGCTACAGCAATACATTCAAAGAATGCAACCCACAAAAGGCATACACCACTAGCTGCATAGTAGTCAAAGAGTTGAAAAACATACATGCCACCCTGGAAAAGAGACACGACTGATTAGGATCCAGCAGGAAAAAAACCAACAAAACAGCCTGAATTCTTTAGGCCCAGCTCCCAGTAACATCTACTGACTTATCTTAATTATTGCTGTCTAACAAGATGAAATATCAAGCAAGTAGGTAAGGTAAATATTTGCCATTACCTTCCCTGGGGAATATGCATGTTTACTACAGGATGCATTCCAAACAAGACGATGATTAAACAAAATTAAGCCACTTAGTATAATCTACTGAGACACTTAAATCTTTCCTTCTTAAAAGTATTTTAGGCTGGGCATTTATAGAAACAAATGATGTAAAGCAGTAACAGGTCGCCTCCTAACATTAATGCCCCTCAAATACTACAAATGAAGTTAGTTCATCAGGAGGACCTTAATTTATGAATTGGGTGGAAGAATTTTTTTCATCAGAATAGTTAATATTTTTTTTTCTTTCTTTCTAAATCTTAGAATTGATACTGTGCTGTTAGGCTCTTTGCTCTCACTACACTGAACTGTATATACCTGCACTTTCACTTGAAAATCTGTGTGTTAGGCATTTCTGTTGCAGGTACTATTTTAATTCCCACAATCGTGCTCTTCCAGTTGTTTTTAAAATCTGGCTTGGATTTTATTTTGGAGATAAATATCACAACAGTGCAGCCACTGGAACATATTCCCATCTTGTTTACACTAGAATAAATCCAGGGTTATTTAATTGATTCAAATCTATGTAACCAAGATAAACATCTCTCTGCATGCACTTGGATGGATTCTCAATCTACTATGCTGAAGGTTCCCAACGTGTTTCATAATTTGGAACCAGATGTTAATATTCATGTTGATCAGTACCTCAGATGAGATTAAATTTAATGAGGTTTCTTTTCTCTGTTCCTCTGACTGAAAAGGCAGGACTACCCAGCCTCTATTCACAGTGCTTTCAGATCTAGGGATGAAAGATGTTCCGTAGATCTGAAGAGCATCGCTCCTCTGTGTGGTTGATTCTGTGCAATATCATTCATAGCTAAAATTGGTCTAAAAACTGGATGAAAAAGAAGGCAATTTCCAGCACCAGTGCTACTTACCTCAGTCACCATAGTTAGTCCCAGAAGATAGCTAAGGAAACATACTATAGCGATGAAGATTTCCCGTCGGTAACCCTTCCTTAGGAAGGATGGGTGCAGATCAACTAATGACGTGATCTGTCCTTCAACTTCAACAAACTAAAGGGGGAAAATACAACACAAAAATGTGACTTGAAAATTACCTGCTGTGCATTTTATCCGGGCTCATATTTGGACAAACACTCCACAGCAATACCCTAACTGCACTCTGGAAAAAGCTGCTCTGAATAGATAAACTGGAAGCTATTCCAGAGGCTGAAGCATGGGCATAGTTTTCATGTTGGAACAAGCTTTCAGAATTGCTGTTCACTTCCCAGCAGCCTTATGAACTACCAAAGAGGCTCTGCAATGCAAACTGCAAGGGTAAAGGAACTTAATTTGATGACAGAAAGGCACTTGTATGGCTTCTATGTTGTAGCTGTCCCAGATGGATACAAGATGTGTGCTAGGAAAGAGGCAGGCAGAAAACACTCAAAAAAGTCTAAGCTAGGAGAGTACCTCCCAATCTTTTTTTTGATGTGCCAGGAGACCTCACATGAACTAGTCAGGTTAATTCCACAATTAGATATAATTCTACTCTTGGGTTCACTAGTGAATATTCAGCCAAGGGAAAGCAGACTTTGATGTGAAATAACAGCCCTTCTTGACTAAACTTTTCTTTTCTGAAACTGAGAGCAGAGTCCCTTTGACTGAGGCTCTGGGGCACTTCTGCATCAGTAACAGAGCTGGTGATACAATTCCCATATAAAGGTCTGGTAAACTATTTGCATGTGTATACCAAAAAGGAAGCTCTAAATAGATGAGCTAAAATCTTGTTTTATCTAGCTTCAGGAGAGCTGTATTTTTACTTACTTGCCATTTGAAAACTATATGTAAGATGTGTAACTTGACTTAACCAAATAATCCAAGCTGGATTTGAACAGCAGTTTGAAGTTAATTGAAAACCAGATGCATTTCACCATGCATTCAAACAAATCCAAGGAAAGGATGATTCAACTACTCTGCACTCTCCATCTGGCAAGGTACGAAAGCACCAAGTTCACCCAAAACATGAGGACACCATGGTGAACCAAGGCTGCCTCTGCAGAAATTATCTTCACTTTAAGTGGATATATCATCTTATAACTAATGAGTAAGCAAGGGGAGTCTGTGAAATAGTGTTATTTCAAGAAAGGCTACTTTTTCCTATCTGGTACCAATTGCCCTGTAAGAACTCTACCCTCTTTGACCATGAGCAGAAGCTGCATTTCGGAAATACAGATTGTCCTGCAGATTTTGTTGCCTCCTGTCTTGTTACTTTAACTTCTGTGAAACTGGTTTTATTTAAATGCAACCCTTTCCTTTGGGCTGATTTGATCTTAAACTGCTCTGGCATTCCAGAAACCTGCTTGACTGCACTACAAAATAACAGGGGTGGAGGAGAAAAATTAAGCGCTCCAATTAGTTTTAATCATTCTACGCAGTGAGGAGATTTTAAAAATTACTAGGCAGCCTCCAATTTGCATAAGCACAGGGTTGTTGAACCACAGCATTGGGCACTTTTGCATTTACTTTGGAATGACTGAAAGTTGCTCACTGGAGTTCAAAGATTAAGCCCTAACGTGCAACTTAGGGCAAATGGAATATAAAAAATGTAAGATATTACGTATGTAACAACTGGGTAAAAATCCATTTACAGATCTCTCCTCACATTTAGGCTAAATGAACATTTCATCCTTGCCAACTGGGTTTTGATAACCCCAGTGAGTTTCCATGTGCATGTGGAAAACTGCCTATTGCCCTGAAAACTTCAGCAATTTTGAATGTGTAGTTACTGCATAATCCCTGGTCACCCAGGTGTAAGTGGACTATCTAGAAATTATTTACAGATTCTTTTGCAGTATTTAGTCCAACATTCCTATAAGCAATCACTAGGAAAAAGAATCTAACTTCTTGGACTCAACTTTTTGATTTGTTCATGCTTATTAATCAGTATGAGTGTGTACTAATTCGTACAACTCAAACCTCAAATGCTTTCTGGTCTGTTTGGAGGTACTGAATGTGTGCTGATGATGTGAAAGTCAACATGATCCCACATTGCTCAGCACCTCTATGCCCAGTGCCACCTAAAAACCTGTGCCTTTGTCTTCAGACTGTTCATGAAGCCACCCTGATCACAATGGCACAAAGTCCTCTGTGGAACATATTGCTATAGTTTTCAATGCTTTTAAAATTATTAAGCTCTTCTTCACAGTAGGAAAATACTGTACTGTGATCAAAATGGTAGTATTTATGCCAGACTGGGACTAATGTTTAGGTTATGCAGTAGTGCCCTGGTCTTGTGGATTCCATTAACTCCTGATGACAAAGAGCAAACAACATCATACTATCAACTAAGAGGCTCAACTTAAAAGCAACTCAAATTAATTCCTGTTAAAAACATTAGAGGTTTTCACTTCTTAACTCATGTCTGTAAAAGCAGCTTTTCTCAAGTCAGCAGCACTGAGAAAATAAGCCACATATCTCTTACCCATAATACTAACCTGGCTATCCAGTCCAAGCAACAGAAGCATAATAAAAAAAAGGATTGCCCAAAAGGTGGGCAGTGGCATCATGGACACAGCTTTTGGGTAGGCAATGAAAGCCAGGCCTGGACCTAGAGAAAGAGAAAATAGGAACAGGGGAAGGGAAGGGAAGAGAAATAGTAAGTACCAGCCCTGGGGTAAGGGCAGCCACACTCAAATGCAGGAATG